CCCCAAAACCCCAAAACCCCAAAACCCCACTAAATTAGATGATCAAATAAGAATAATATTTATGAAATTAAAATTAAACAAAAATTTTATCATTGATTGAATCTATGCTTTTCGGTATATGCACTTCTCTAAGTTCTCTCAAATGGAAGGAATTTTTAAGCATCATAGTATGCTGCCTTTTGGAATTTCTGCTCAGCATTTAAACACTCTTCTATTGCCATTTAAAGAGCTTCGACCCACTCCTCAATTTTCTCATCCTCCTAGCTTTCACTCTCTTTCGCATTGAAATACTCCATAATTTCAGTCACTAATGGCTTACTCATAGCTAATTATTGATCGATTTGATTTTCTTCCTCTTAGAGTAGCATGCTTTCGTCCTTTGAATGTAAGTAATTGATGTTCCTCTCTCTTTCTCTATCAAAAGAATGCTTAATCCTCCAGTATTTGCCTTCTTAATCTTCAAGACTTGCTTAAGCTGATTCATGCTGTTACTAGAGCCTATTATGAGTAGATATCTATGAAGTTTAACTCTCTTTTAATATTTTTTCTTTTAATGATACCAGCATTTTATTTGAAAGATTTTACTAATCCTAGTCTTTTAAAGCTAACTCAATAGCATCATTAGCATTCACTAATAATTGCTCTTGCTTTGTGAGTTCATCTTAAAGTTACTTCTTAAGTTTAGCTTGAGCCTTGACTTATTATCTCCTATCATCAAGATCTTTCTTTATTTAGTAACTATATATCATTGAAACTAAAATATACTTACTTGAATCTGGCAGTGTCTCTAAGTTTTTTATAAACTTTGTCTATTTTGTCTCGAGCTTCAGTTAAATTCTAATCCTCCTTGGCTTTATTTTTAAATCCAATTTTTTCCCAAAATGATTCTTTCAACCTAGGTTGAATTTGACCTAAAGTGTTAAGAATTCATAAGAGTTATCTTACTTTCATTCTCTTCAGTGTGAACTACTCTAATTAAATCTCCCTATATTTTTCTTGACTCACTTTTTTCTCTCTTTCTTGCTTTTTATTTCTCCACTGTCTCCTCAAGCTCATGATATTATGCTCTCCACTCTAGGTTTTTCTTTTTTTTCTCCTCAACTTATTAAAGAGTCAGTTATCTCTGCTCAAAATCATCATGTTCCAATTTCCTGTTTCCAACTTCAAACATCTAAGCGAAGTTTTAAATAGTTGCCCTCCTCTTTAAATTCGGAGATTTCACATCAGTTTCTACAACCTCTTTCATATCTTTGAATTCTTCTGCGTTATCATCATACATAACCGAGTGAATATTAACCTAATTTCTATCGAAATACACTCTCTTTTTCTCATGTAAAGCCCTTCTAGCTTCTTCTTCTCTCATTTACTGTTCTTTTAGTCTAGTATTTCTACGTTCTTTTGTTGGTCCTGAGGTACTTCTTTTATTCAAGCCAGGTTTGATTCCTTTTGATGGCGCCATCTTTCCTTACAATGTTGTCTTATTTTTGTCTGCTATCGCATAATTATTACCAGTCTTGTTGTTCATTTAAATTTGATTTAAATATTTTTGAAATTATAATTTCAAGAGCTTAAATTATCTATTCTTTTATCTCAAGTCTTAAGGAGCGGGGTTTTGGGGTTTTGGGGTTTTGGGG